CGGCAGATATATTTTTAACGTAGAATAACAGATTAGTTATGGGGTGTCAAAATAAATAGTCGTATTTGTGTGACAAACGTGCTAGGCTGAATTCGATTACAAAATATTGTAAAACGGGGGACAATGGTGATTAATCATAATAGATTTGTAGTGTGGGGTAGGAAAATTGACAAGTCAGTTCAAGGTTACTAGCCACTCACCTGACACCTTTTATAACCTTGAACTGACTTGTCAATTTTCCTACCCCACACTCTACAAATCTCTTATGATTAATCACCATTGTCTCCCGTTTTACAATATTTTGTAATCGAATTCAGCCTAGCACGTTTGTCACACAAATACGACTATTTATTTTGACACCCCATAACTAATCTGTTATTCTACGTTAAAAATATATCTGCCGCATAACTGGCCTTTATTGTAACGACAACAAATATTATATTTTATAATTATAAGAACCTGAAGAGAAATTATTGAAAAGAATATTCTTCGTTCAGATTGACTTTTAATCTGTGATAACACGAATAATGAAAAACAGCATGATTAAACAAACAACTGTTCAGGTAGAAGTAGTCGATAAAGGCTAGTAAAAACAAATGAACCGATTAAGTAATGTTACATTGTAAGGGAAGGAAATGAAACACGTTTATCTTAGCCGATGGGAATGTTAACATAGACGAATTGTTGCTGAAATTCAACAACATCCACCCTTCGCTTACCTTTACTTGTGAAGAGGACAGGAGAATAAACTACATTTCCTGGATTTCTTGCTAAGTAGGAGAGAAGATGGGTCACTTCGAAGAAGCGTGTATAGAAAAAGCACTTTCACAAGGCAATACACACACTTCCTTAGTTACGTGCCCATTAAATATAAAAGGAATGTTGTAAAATGTCTTGCGAGCAGAGCAAGAAAGATATGTACAGATGACCTCTTACAAAATGAATTTGAATAAATTCACGATTCCTTGATGGAGATGGGCTATCCGAGTAGTTTCATAAAGAAACATATGAAAACATCGGAGAAAAAACCAGAGACTCTGACTGCACGTAAGAAACCTCTATTTATTAGGTTACAATTTAATGGTGACTTATCAAGTGAGATTCTATTCCAAAGACTTTCAAGGAGTATACGAAGAACATTTTATGCAGCACACCTATGTTTGTCATTCTCTAGCCGACGAATGATTGGGACGCAAACGAAGGATAAGCTTGATAGTTTTGCCACATCTGTGTGTATTTATCAATACAACTGCACCTGCGGTGACAGTTATATTGGGCGTACTACTAGACAGCTTAGCCAACGTGTTAGTGAATATCTCCCATCGTGATTTGGCAAAGGACAGACAAAAACAATCCGTAGCTCAATTTTGTCACACTTAATTGATAGTGGTCATGTAATCGAGAAAACGAGAGCTTTCAAAGTAATTCATCGTATCCCACCGAATCTTTCCAATAGACTTCGTATTCGTTTATTGCACACAGCTGAGGCGATAGGCATTCGAACTATTAAACCTAAACTATGTATTCAAAAAAGTTCGTACAGCCATTATCCCTCCCTTGGCCTATTAAGACATAACCAACTAATGACATCTACACAACCCTTTGTTTATATTTTCAACCCCTTTCTTATCATCCCTTAATCTTATCTTCATTATAAACGTGTTTCATTTCCTTCCCTTACAATGTAACATTACTTAATCGGTTCATTTGTTTTTACTAGCCTTTATCGACTACTTCCACCTGAACAGTTGTTTGTTTAATCATGCTCTTTTTCATTATTCGTGTTATCACAGATTGCCTCACTTTTTCATCCTTATTATTGATAAGACCATTTTTATTATTACTATTATTATTATTATCATTACTACTATTATGACTAATTGCACAATTTATATTCACCATTGTATTATCCTATAGACAAAACACCATGATTGGTTTATATTTGAATTTTTATTTGTTAACTTATATATATTAGAGTTTTGATTTTACCAGAAATGCATATGAATTATTGAATACTTGGCAAGTGATTCCAGTTAAGGTACTGTGTATTCACCATAAGGATCTAAAACTTCTAGCTAACACTGCACAACAATCAGCCGAAGTTTTATGGTCATAGCTTGACATAAAACACGTTAACCCATGTGTGTGTCAACTGTTGGGAGTTGTATTCACTGCATACAAAACTACATACTGCTGATTGGTTGATATAAGTAGTTGTACACCACTCACATCAACCAGTAGAGTTTGTTAGACCATGGTAACCATATTCAATCGAAAAATACAAGTACTTAGATGAAATACTCATGTGATTGTGTGGTGATTCTGTCATTAAATATCAGATGAGATCAAAGTCCATTTCAGTGTTAACATAAAATCTACTGAGATTGAGGTAACAAAGATATTGACAAGAACAGAGGAATCATGATTTTTAATTCTGTGTTGTTCTTGATTGCACTGCTGCTCAATAACTCACTTTATACAATAGCCATAGTCCCGAAGCCTTCAAGTTACGAAAAATATTCTTCACTTTGCTATTTAAAAAGCTTACCTGAAATTCAACACAGCTATTCCTCATGCAATATATTGTCAGAAGCTCTGGTAAGATTTGAAAGGCGATTGGGATGGAAACATCCACCAATTTCTGAAAAAGTTGAAGTCACATGCAATATAAACACTCTGACTATCAAAATCGGATACGGATGCAACGAAAGCAAAGGTGAGCTATGGCCATCATTAACTGCATCAACTGATGAATCATGTGAGTTGTACCACAACGACTAATTCAATCACCATTTTGCAGATAATGTGAAGATAGAAGATTCCCAAATTAGCATAGAATCCGTTGAGGTTTGGGGTGTTTTACATTCCCTTGAGACCATACTTCAATTGGTGTACCGCGGTGAAGATGGAGCGGTGAGTTTCGTTTTTACCTATGGCTTGATTTCATTAATTCATTTCATCCTACAGAATGTTATATTTCAAGGATCTTTGATGGACGAACCAGAATTCGTACACCGTGGAATGCTGATAGATACTGCGAGATACTTCTTGCCACTTGATGTCCTGATGAAACTAATAGTAATAAGTGCAATAGTCCTTATGATGCTTTCTCTTACCAGGATAGCATGGCCATGGTCAAGATGAATGTGTTTCACTGGCATATTACGGATGATCAATCATTTCCCTTTGTCTCGTCTACTTGTCCGAAACTGTCAGAGAAGGTGAGTAAGGTGAAAATCAGGTTATGTATTGATCGAAATGTTTGTTTAAACTACAACAGGGTGCATATCATTCTCCGAGGTGCACATATAGTAAAGAAGATGTGGAAAAACTGTTGGACTACGCCCGTCAACGTGGAATTCGTGTGATTCCAGAGTTTGATACTCCAGGTAGGTAATTTTAAATGTATGTTTAAATGATGTAATTGTCCATCATGTGAGTTCAAATGAAATAATACCATGCAAAGATTTGAATCAGTATGAACATGCTCTTGGAATGATGCTGAAAGTAGACTGTCTATCAACCAATTCAAGATAGTCATCAAAAATATAGGGCAGCTTAAGAATGATTTTGTGTTTGAGGGTATGTTGAAGCAAGGAGATGATGAGGGGAGTTACCTAGCAAGTTTGATTTTGCTGAAAGTTATAAACCCAAGGTGTTTGTGAAAAATTCGCAGTTTGTGATTCTGTTCAGTCGCCAACTATTATCCAGACAATATGCGGAATTATCCGACCATTGAAATACGGGAATATCATTGGTCCAATGTTTGCATTCAACGTCTTACAGTTGATCCTTGAATGAACCAACGTATTTAGTGTGAAATACATGTGATATATGAATTGAATAGGGTATAATTTCAGACAGCAGAATTCGAATCAATCTCAGATGGTGAATCCATTAATCATCGTATTTTGTATCTCAACGACATTATTTGTCGAGATATTGTAAGGCTGATTTCCATTGACTGTCACAATTATCTTTTGTAGCGCATACATTGTCATGGGGGAAAGGATATCCAGACCTACTAACAAAATGTTATAGCGGTGCTCATCCAAATGGAAAGCTGGGTCCATTGAATCCAGCCAATTCATCGGTGTATGAGTTTTTGGAGAAATTCTTCACAGAAGTCGTCAACAGGTTTCATGACAATTATATTCATCTTGGCGGTAATGAGGTTGACTATGAGTGCTGGTGAGTTCTGTTGATTTTATGCAAGAGTAAATGAAGAATCAATGTTATGGCATCGCCATATTTTCATTTCAGACTGAAGGCATACTTTTATCTGTCTCAGATTAACAGGGGCTGAACTAGCATAACAATTTTCAACTCAACTGAATTTCAATAAATATTCCGTAGCAGCAACAGGAAGAACAGCTGTCGATTTCATCATTAGGAATTGACGCCTTTGATTTGCCGATTTGTTGATTGATAAGAAATATGGAAAAACACCACTTACAGTGTTGTCGTGACGTCATTTTTAACTTTGTGCTGAAGATGCCAAATAAATTGCATCAAAAACTGTGTGTACAGGAAACAGTGTATAACAATATTCGGGCGTTTCTAAACCTGAGTGACTGATTAAGCAAAATATTATTTTGTATTAAAGTGTCCCTTTATCTGATATTACCAGTGGATTGCAAAACATTTAGTGCAATCAAACATGGTAGCTACATACCGCCAGTGAAATATAATCCCACATTATTCCCCTTCTGATTGGTTAATATAAGTGAATGCAGACAACTGTCCATAAGGCACGACTATTTCTTCTTCTTCAGTAGAATACTGAATATTACAGCACCCATCTCTCTCATTCTCTTCCTTCCATTGAGTGGAGTAGAAAATCCTCATCAACAATCTCTGATCAAGTTGTATTTTAACAATTAATTCATGTAGATTAACGGGAGACTTCAAATTGCTGCTCCTTATTTGTAGGCAGTTTAAATTGAATCATCGACAAGAACATGGAACAAACTTATTTATTGTCTTCCTGTTTATTTTAGGCGGTCGAATCCAGAAATAACCAGCTTCATGAGAGACATGGGATTCGGTGAGGATTATTACCAATTACATAAATATTATCTGGCGAAAGTTATTGAGATTGTTAAGAAGATGACGACATCCTCTAAATTACCGATCACTCCTATTGCCTACCAGGAGAGTTATGCTGAAGAATGTGAAGTAAGTTTCGGAAAATATGCTTGTAATTAGATCACTACACTCGATATTCAGTGACGATTATCTGTTCCATGTTAACTGATTCGGTGTCTAGAGACAAATAATGATCCATCTATCTCATCACCATCAGGCAAACAGATCTAGGTCGCCGAATGCTGCGTTTTGGTGTTACTTCATGTATGGTGATAGGAGAATATTGTCTCTTATTACTTGTCCAGCGGAGTCTCTCATGCTGAGTGTGACTAAGCTCTCTCACTCTCACAACCCAGTCGACCTAAATACAACAGAATAATCCCTGTGCTTGATCGTGAAGTCATCTGGTTGTATTTGATCAATTGAGTTATTTCATGTGATTATTCAATTTGGACAGGACAGAGGAGTTGACTTCATTAATGGAAATTTGTATTCTCTGTACCTTTGTGTTGAGTGTCTGTTGATACATGGGATCTCAGAACAGACACACTGGTTTGTGACCTTGCTCCCAATTCCAGTGGTAAATCTGTCGTTCATTAGAGTGATCATACAACCAGTTGATGATTCTTAAACAGAAAGAAACTTGTATCTACATTTTCACTGTTAACCATCATGAACAGGATCAAATCAATATTTATTTAATTCAGGTTATGATCGCTACTCATCTTAATTGTTTACTAGATAATTGAAGAACTGAGATGATTTAATTTCACTCTTCGGTTGAATAAATCTAACGTGTTGCATATTTTTTCCATGTCAAATGTCTTGCGAATCTCTGAAAAGATGCATCAGAAAATTCGAAACCTCAGGTTAAATAACTTCATACAGTCAACCTGTAAACGAAATGCTTCATCCATTCGATAATGCGCCATCCCGAATTTCCAGAATAACAATCAACCGATAATTCCTTTCAAATTAAACTGCATAGTTACATCAGTTTGATGTTCATACCACTAACTTTACAAATGTTTCATTCGGTTTAACAGATTGACCATGGAACAATCATTCATGTCTGGAAAACTGTAGATTGGCAAAAATACGTCTACGAAGCCACTCTAGACGGATATAATGTTATAGTTTCTGGTACATGGAATCTCAATGACATACAAAATGATCTTGATTGGATGAGATATTACGCACAGAATATCAGAGATTTCGGAGGTGAGTTAATTCTCGCGTAGTCTGAAACAGATACTGTTTTGAACTGAATTTATGTGTTGACGACATTTATCTGGGTGTGTTGCAAGTTTCGCTTTGCCTGTGTTATGCAACAGTTTTGAAATGAACACGGATTCACAATGATTGCAGAGAGTGCGCTGTTTCTTGAGGCACAAGTGTGAGTCGTTTGACTTTGTACAGTATGTCGGCATATTAACAGCAAAATGTATATATACATATATAATGGAAGTCAATGGGACATTCACACTGAACTCAGGAGTCAGTCATTAAGGAATTGTGTATTAATCGGGATTTGTAGATCTAGTTGAGGATTTTGTTTTCTTTGTTTTTTTCATTTTCTGAGATGAATGGTTTCACTGCGAATCCATAAATACTGAACAAGCGCATCTCCCAAAGCAAACATTCACTGAAGAATCTTGACTTAATGAAGTAGATTTGAGTCTCGACATCGGATTGGTTGTAACGATAAACACTAATGTCTGTTTCAGTCACTAAACATCTACATTCGGCAAAACACACGTGACAATGTTGTGCATGGAAAGGAAAATGTTGTAAATTTTACAGTGTTGCGTCATTTCACCCAGAAGTGAACCAACATCAATGCCACTGATGATCTGACTCGCTATTCACTTTCCAGATTGTGTTTATCCTGCTTTTATGAATGTAATTTTTGTGGAACATTTTGATGCAATTTTTGTTACTCCTATTCAGACATGCAACTCATTTCATCCTTACGACAATACATATCCTGTTTAGATCTTTTCTATAGTTTGGAAAGAATTCGATGGTACCTTGTTTACAGAGTTAGAATAGTTTCTTCCTCGGACAGCATTAACTAAGAAATTAGAAAGCGAATTCATTTTTCCTCACATCGCAAACATATTCTAAATTCTATTTAGACTGGTAAAAGTTTGATGACAGACATTAAGTGTGGCATGTTGTGCATAAGATGACATTCCAGTGAGTAGCATATCTAAAGACATACTGTTCCACGATGTGATCAAATTATTCCATGCGATAATCTGATGTGGCGATGGAATTTTTCTGTTACTCGATAAAACTAATGCCATCGTAGTGCGCTGGTGGACATCACCAGTGACGTGTGAAAATACGAGCTGAGCTGTTTCGGTAGGGTTGATAAATATACGACTGACTCATTAGTGTATATATTTATAGGCTACAGTGAACATACACCAGTTCATTCTAAAGGAACTAAATAATTAAATCTATCGATGGTCCTGCTTCTTCGAAATCGTTGGACAACAGGGCATCCTAATAATTTGGGCATCCTCAGAATACATTTAAAACAAGAATAATAGAAGTGGACAATTTCAGTTTCAGTAGGTGTCTCAGCCTCTTTGGTTACAAATCGATTCCTGTTGGTAAATAATTTTCATTGAAGGCAATTGGGAATTATATCAGAAAGTGTTTCATGACACAAGTACGAGGTGATATAATAGTCATTGCGTTTTGATTATCATTTGACATGTGTATGATCAATAGGGACATGAGACAACATGAAACTGATTTGCTTAGTGTTATCTTTGTGTATATATAATCAAGAAAACAGTATCTGTTTCAAGGGATGTGTTTAGTCGGGAGTGTGACATACAAAGTGAGTACCACTGAGGAATAAACACGCAGATACAAATACGCTATACTTAAGTTCAAACTGTGACAGATAAGAATGATAAGTAAAAAGTCATATCACTGGTGTGGTGGGAATACAAATGTGCTATTTATGGACCGTTATCGATTAATGAAGAATTTAATAAAGTGGAATGAAACGCGTCGTGTAATTGCAACAACGAATCTGAAGAACATAACATGAATTTTGGTCAATTGACATAATACAAAAGATCAGGAAACCTGCACAGTGTAATGAAACGGAGAACAGAAAAAATGGATTTTCAAGTGTTGGTTTGTAGGGATTTGATTGGTTACAGGATTTCATCATGAGCTGACATCAGTTAGAGAACCATTGGAAAACCTGGGAGTACTGGACAGCTGTTTCGTCCTAGTTTGGGACTCTTCATCAGTACGCACCCACCGGGGTTCGAACCCTGGACCTTCTGGTTTGGAATTTGAAAATAAGGAATTGGGATTTCATGTGCTAATTTTCAACATAAATGGAGGAGGTTGAGATGAATGAAGAGACTGCGCACATCTCATCCAGATATGGAAACTGGGTCATCTTGTATTGACTGACAGAAAACCCAGTTGGACTCTATTACTTACGTCTCCAAGGGCATCGGAGATCATCGAGAATGCCTTCTCCGGACAGGTTGCTAAGATTACACTATTCAAACATATTTAGCCCCATTATACAAAGGTAGAATTACACTTTTGTGCTCACCTGGATGAAGATCACTGAGTATGCCCTATGCAATAGGGGACATTCCAACTTTTAATTTGCAGACGCACATTATTTAGGCCATCGTTAGCAATTTATCCTTGACCCGCTATGTGAGTAGCTCTTTAGTTTGGAAAGAAGCCCTGGTTAAGCTGCAGGAAATCTGCGTTATATTTTGATTGTTGAACAGTAGTTAACAGGAATTTGCGATTTTTCAAAGCAGTTGACCTACAAATCTATCAGTCGCATTCTTCAGCAAAATATGCGGAGAAGACTTTCTGAAATCCAGTAGATTTTTCTCACTGAGTTCATCGGTTCCCCGAGCAAATAACACTTTTCATTTTGTTTACAGGCTCACTTACGCAAACGCAATCAGTCATTGGAGGTGAAGCTACACTGTGGAGCACACGTGTGGATGCGACGAATATAATGTCACTAGCGTGGTTAGTACTCTTCACTAAGTCTTCCTAGTATTTTCACTAAAATCATTGTTTGATAGGTATCTCAATTGTGAATCAAAATGTTGTTTAGGTCAGAAAATAAGAAAATGTTTCGGTGATGATTTTCAGTCAAAATCTGAACATCGGAACCCATTAACATAACTGTGAGTTTAGATGACGACATGTTGGAAATAGGATGATGACTTCATCTGAATCTCACTCACTGTTGGCCAACATCAAGCGAATATCATAAAAGGGTGAATAGTAGTAATTCGTTAAGCTCCTTTAACTATACACCCAGTATCAACAGACAATATTTCTACATGTGAACCGTTGAAAATGAAGTTCAACTTCGACTTGAATTCGCTTTCTCCGAATTGCCATATGGAATCATGATGATTGAATATCTAGACTGTGGGATTTTGTTTCCAATAAAGTTGCATTTCCCTGTCTATGAAAGACACCTTTGACGAGAAATCGAGTGACACATGTGTTCATTTCACGAAACGTCAAGACATATGATTCACAGATGAGAATTTTCTAGCCAACTAAATTGCTAAAATTACATTCAATGCATTACCGACCTACTTTGAATGAGTTAGGTCAAAACGTCAACGCGATGTGTTTTAGTTCACCTCGCTGACCACAGTTTTCTGTGTGGTTCTTCTCATTATTGTGATACATATGTAGGCCTAGAGGTGCTAATACGGCTGAACGACTTTGGACGAAACACCCTGACAGTATAGACGAATTCGGAAAGAGATTGGATGAACTTCGATGCAGAATGCGCCAGTGAGTTTCCCTCTACTTACAGTCATGCATATTCTGTTTAAATATTGTGGTTCTGTAGCCACTTGATGCAACTATGAATGGGACACTGTGATATGGTTATGTCAGTAATCTCTTTTCGTTGAGATTCGGTGTCATCAAGTAAGGTGCTAGCGAATTATTCCGTGACATACTATTTGACGAATTGATAACTGATTATATCTAAAACTCCAAAACATGATTGTTATCAGAGATGGTAGGCATGTCGTGGTTAAGAGAGGACACTAAGAACTCTGACCTGTCGACATAAATACTTTACATTCGGAATGAAACATTGTGAATGAATGTGTAGTGTGTGGATACTCTCACCTGTCACGATCTCTGAATCTTTTAATGATACTCTGTTTTCTGTGCACAGAACAACAGAGACAGTCATCACATAATAGTCAATTACGTTATTGCTGAACAATTATTTTAATCGTCACCTGGTCCCGATCAGCACAATGTATAGGAAGTTACTTTTAACTGTTTCTGGCACAGAAACTGATTTGACTGATTTGATTAGTTTCATATAGTATCAGTACAAACAGGGATAGTTTGGCAGTTCAACTATCCCCACCTCTGATTCAGCCAAAGGTATATTTTTTAATGAAAAACTTAATCTGCACACAACAATGGCTTTTACATGGAAAGATCTTGGTGCCTGAGATTTCCTAAACATCATGGGGTTGGTTATTCACTGCTGAAGTGCTACAGACCAGTGCATTTAACACGGAATTTTAAGTAAAGTGCAGCAGTGATACGTCTAAGGTGGCCAGCGAAATTGTACAGTTGATTGACTAACAATCGTTTTATTCCAGCAAGAAATAGTCCTTTTGCAAAAGTTGAAGGAGAATATACAAATGACGCGTCATTACTGACTCCATCGCTTTTCTAATTTCTGTTATTCAACGTGTAAAACAACACTGCCGACAATAACTTTATATATGTAGCTGACAGCAGACTTTTCTTTATTTCTTCGACATTTGATTTCAGGAACGGCATACCAGCTCACCCTGTTCTCGGTCCTGGTTTCTGTCCATTTTAACGTGAACAATTCGCGGGGTTCTACTGAAGATTGTAATTCACTTAATTTTATTTGATATCTGAATGATTTCTATGTAGAATAAAACTCGAATAGACTTCTGATATCCAGTGGAATACATTGTTGTTTGAGGAATATACTCGCTGTCTGTTTAGAAATACGCTTTCTCAGGTGTTCCGCCCAACACACTCTCAATCGTATCTCAATGCAGAATCTTTAATAAGTAATTGTGATGTTTGTGAGATAAGAGCAGTTGTTCTTTGATAATTAGTCTGTATGGCCGCCTAAAATTTTTCCGGTGTAATTCCATCACTGTGTATATTTCAGTTTGCCTAAC